AACGTGTAATTTCATTATTTAACATTAACATGTCGTTTTAATGTATAACATAATTTTTATTCTATGTATAAGAAAATATTTTTTGTTTTACAACTATATAAAGTACGCAAATAATGTAATCATGTATACATTGTATTATATATTATATACACACATGCAATATATTATATGGTATATATAATAGATAAGATCATCATCATATATATAATATATAAGATCATCATCACCCACAACGATCAAAGTAGCCAATACAAATGAGGTTCGGTAGCTAAAATGAACTTATGAGTCCTAATCGAAAAGAAACAATAGCTTTAAGAATAACATCTCCAGGAATCACCACGTAAAGCCTGAATCTTGCTGCAGAGATCAGCGCCCCAACCCATAAAGGATTTGTTGTCCCTGTCACAATCTGAAGCCTGCAGACCGTCTGGGATATGCTTTGCGGAGGAATGAATACCTGCTTTTCGTTTCTGCCAGGTACACGGTAGCAGCCCTTTGCTAAATGCAATGGATAGCTTCCATGGGACACGCGCCTATCGTATTTACCTAGATCGTAGGATGAATGTAACCGTGTGTCAGTGACAAACTGCAGATGTGGACCTTGACAGAAATTCTCTTTGCGGGGTATTGTCCTTTCGCTAAAGATACGGATACGGCACAGAGATTTATTTCCACAGGAGATTTTTCTGGAGACAAATAATCACCGAGCAATGAAATCACAACCTTCCAGCTACACAAAGGGTACGATATGATAGCTGTTTATACTGTAACAGTTTGAATAGGTTTCAATGTTTGTGTTTCTCTGACAGAAAATTAAACATATATATACTGTGTGGGATTTATATATATTATATATAGTATAAATATATATAGTGATATATTTGACATATATATACAGATTGTGATTACATATACAGCATAGATAACTTTATATCTATCATCTATCTATGATTTATCTATGATTGATCTATTATTTATCATCTATCTACGTATCACCTATCTATCTATGTATCTATCTATGTATCTATGTATCTATCATCTATCTATCTAGCTAGCTAGCTAGCTAGCTAGCTATATCATCACAGAACAAAGGCTAAGCCAGTAATAGAGACATCAGCTTTAATTCCGTGAGCTTAAAATTGGCTTCCAATGCAGAAAATTGGCTATTTTTAATTAAGCCCTCGTGTAGTCCCTATATATATGTTCCTTTTTCCCTTCTTTTTTCGGCTGAATTTCCTACTGCCTTCTCTTGTGTTCCTGACCTCTCTTTGGGGTTACACGTGGACTCTAAACAGTATAATTGTATCTTGATACTTTAGGTAAACACACATAGTTTACCCAACGTAAAGTAGAAATATCCTCACGATCTCTCCCCTGTCCTATAAGAGACCACGTGTCGTCCAGTGAGCTTCACGAGGCCCCGGTCACTCACCTAGACTGTGGCTCAGAGCTAAAACATATCACGGGTAACAGACTTTCATGGTTCAACACACTTCGAAGGCACTGAAATGAAGCTCACTCTATTTCTTTTAGAGACACTTGGCATGAATGTCCCTTTACAGAGGCAGCAAAGAACGGACTTATTATCACGTTAGGTGGTTCTGCGCGTGACAGTTTTCAGGTGTCTGCGGCTGCAGGAAAAAAATAATCCTTTGTGCAGAACAGCCTACTGAGCTGAAGGAAAGTTTGTCACGGATGAAATGGGACAAATACTATGCAAACTATCCCTCGCGATCTCTTTCTGTATCAATCTTAAACAAATACTATGCAAACAGCAGAGCGATTTCCTGGAGTGGTGGACACGCAGCCGCTAACCGCGTCCACGTTCACGCCAGCCGCCCTTCCCCGGAACTATCCCTCGCGATCTCTTTCTGTATCAATCTTACGACTGGGAAACGGAGGACTTCGGTTTCGGCAAGCTCCCTGCCACGGTCGTAAGCCCGCCTTGGAACACGAACCGAAGAGAATAACGCGTTTCCTTTGACCGTCAGCGTAACGGCGATTTCGCTGAGGCCGCGGCCCGCCGTCGAGTCAACTCAGGCCAACGCGTCCTGACCGAGCGCCGAATCCGCGGCAGTTCCTACAGATGTGACCTGCTCCGGTCCGTGCATCGGACACTCACGGCGGTGCTGCCGGATACTCACCCACCATCCAGTCCATCTCCTCCACGTTGTCACCGTATCTGCCATGTTTGCTGCGCCCCACGAACTTGTCTCTGGTGGTCAGCGGCGTGTGCACGTGCAGGAAGGACAGCAGCAGGAGGAAAGGTCCGCGTTTGTACCTGGGGGTGGGAAGGCAGCGGGGTCATCGTCGTCCCCCAGGCTTGTTCCTCCCTCACATGCGATGCCGCCTTGTGGAAAGATCTTGTAAGAAGGGACAGAGGTTCTCCGTGTTCTCTACCCAGCTGCCAGTACTGCTCAAGGGAGTAACAAACACCACGGCAGAGTCAGCACGGCACGGATGTGACGGGGTGAAAATAAACGGGAACTCGGCCGCGCACTGTGTGCTGTGGTCTCTGTTTCAATCTCTTGCATCCACTTTAGAAAATGACATAAAGTAGTGACTTAAGGCATCTTTTTGATCTTTGTTGAATGGATGGATGGGTGAACGAATGAATGAATGAATGAAAGCCATAGGGATTCTTCCATCTACTTTCTGAGAACGCTTTCCCAGGCATGCGTTAGGAAGACTCACACCCTAATCACAGACACAGGTACGGGGCACTCGGGTTTCAGGCCCTCCCTGCTCTCTGGTCTCCCTGTGCCCCCCCAGGGACACGAGTCCCAACATTTAACTGGGCCCAGCGTGTCGTCTCTAGAAATGCTTCTTATCATCGCCTTGTCTTCCTCCTTTCTGCTGCTTGGGACATGAACATGATGGCTGGAGCTTTGGCATCCACGTTGGGCTCCGAGGTCGCCGACTTTTAAAAAGTAGCAAGACGGGAGAAGCTAGGGCGCAGATAACACGAGAGAAACAAACTCCTCATTTACGTCTCGTGCGCTGTATTTTAATGCCACATCTAGCCTACCTAAAAGGGCTCCTTCGCACACTTTACAACCCACAATAGAGGAGGCAGGAGCATGAAGGTTGGGTCTGGTGTCTCAGGGTGAGCCCAAGCAAGATGGACGGAGGCGAACAGCTGCCCCACCTTCCCGACCGCTGTGCTAAGCTGTGTTCGGGAGGGGACAGTCACAGAGACTTCTCAGAGGATGAGGTCTCGCCCTCCACTCCCTAAGCCCAGAGAGTTATACTTTATGTCTTTTGCTCACTCCCCCACCCCAAAGAAAAAAGGGACAACTTTAAAACACCTGCAGCCGGCCATCGAGAAGTGAGCTCGTGCGGCAAGCTGAGATGCTATTAGACGCCTGTCTGCGGGGCTTGGATTAAAGACATAAAGCAGCAAACGGATACAAAAGCAGAAATGAGTCGTTGGCAGAGGGTCACGGGGATGGGGAGCCCGGCACAGGGAGCGCAGGCAGCACTCAGGTCACGGCCACGTGGACGGCCAGAGGGGAGAAAGACAGACCAGAGGATCATCTCGTCAACGACGTCAATGTCTATGCAGTGTCCTGCCTACTCGAAAGCGATAATGCAGCAAAATTTTAAAAACACATCTATTACTTAAGAATAGACATCGACATAGGGTCACGTCCTCCTTGTCCCTGGACGGGGAGGGATTTT